CTCTGCAGTGGGAAAGAGCATCACAGGTTAAATTCCTACACTAACCACCCTCACCCAGGCATATTTGAGCACCCAACTGGTACCTTACCCAGGTCCTGATGTAACACCCTTTGTAAAAAGCCACCAGCACCAGCCAGCTCCTGGTGGTCCACACCTTGTGCCCACATCTCTTTGGGAGGTTGTTGATGCTGCCACCTGTATCCAGGTAGACGCTTACATGTTTTATGTAAACAAAACAAAACTCCAACAGCTGCAAGGCAACAGTGTAACCACTGCGCTGCCCCAGAGAAATGATGATTCAGTATAGGCTTTTGAAGAGAAAAATCTCAGGGTCATGACAGTGTCCCTGTGGTGGTGGTGGTGGTGGGGGGGGGGGCACATTTATTAACTCCACAATCTCATTCAGCCATCTGTAACTAAAGGAAATGTAGGGCAGGAAGTGACATATTCTTTAGCATAAACCACAATGTGGAACTACTATGTGGAAGTAGGGATAGAGGGAGGTACAGTATGAAGAAAGAAATATAGAGAGTAAGGAATTGGAAATGTAGGTTGAGATGAAGGTAGGTATAGTATGTAGGGAAGTTTAGATGGAGGGGGTTTCAAACATGCTTTTTTCGTCACAGAGAGAGAAGGGAAAATACCAAAGGCAGGTAATAAATTCCTCCGTAGTCACCGCTAAAAGTGTGACCCTTCTGATAACAAACACTTCCTGGTCTTTGTCTTCTTTCTTCATGATCAAAATATTGTAAAAGTTGTATCACTTGTGCACATTCTTGAAGAATCTTAAAATAAGTGATAATAAATTCCATTTCATCAGTATCATAATGCAGAAATAAGAAAGTAATGACATTTTTTTGGGGGGTTTTGCTTTTTCCACTTTGGAAATGGATCTGAAATGCTGCAGATATTCAAAATTAAAATCAACAGACTTTTAGAACGATCTTTGCAGAACTAGGACAGCTCCTGTGTGGAGTCTGCATCTTCTTCCCAGGTTTCTCCAGCTTCTCAAAGCATTGCTGGCTAGTTGATTGGTGTTTTTATAATGTGTTTGTGTGTGAACCCTGCAATGGACTGGCATTCTGAAAACAGATATTTTCTCATTATTCTTGTAATGACAATTTTTGCACTACAGCATACCTCAGAATATCTTCTCAGATTGGGGTGAAATTTTAGCATGTTGATTGTATGTGCAGCAAAAAGACAATTGAACATAAAATATACAGCTGACATGCTATTATGCAAAAGAACAAATTGACACATTTGTCTGATATCACTTTGAAAGTGACGGTTTTATAAAAAACCACAGCATCTTGCTTTTTTTAGTATGTTCTGTTAAAAAAGCTGTTACACCACCTTACTGTTGGTCTAGTTAAACATTTTGTCCATGAAATCTACAGATATGTACCAAATAATAAACCTTAAACTCCCAATTAGCTGACAAGATGTAGTGCACTCCATTGTCAATCAACTGCTTAAAATGGCTAAATGCTCACTGCGAAAGCATTTTACGATGTCACTTCCAAAAAAAGCCGCTGACAAAATTATTTTTTATCAGTTTCAACACCTTTTAATTCTCAGATTTCAGACTTACATTTTCAAGGATATTTCGCACGAATCTCCTACCCATCCCAATAAGATCTCCCTTCTCCCTCCTCACAGCTGATGTAATACTGGAACCTGGTTTGAAGTACGTCAGGAGTAATGTCTCCACAGATGGGAAATACTGTATGTCATAGTGTCTGATGTGTCTGAAAAAGAAAGACACCATTTATGTATGGATCGGCCGTGGAGCCTTCTTCAGGTCTTCTTTATGGTCTACTGCTGCCCCATGTTTCTTGGGAAAAGAGAGGCTGTACCTAGAGCTGGAGGTGGGAGACAATCTGCACTGGGGAGCTGGGATCTTTAGGGAAAGGAGACAGCCCTTGAACCAGAAGAATGGCTCATGTGCTGCGCAAATGTGGAACGGAAGTATGTTCAATGCACTTACCAACTCCAGAACCATATTACTTTTGACTCTGTATTGCAAGAGAGTGGACGTCTATGTAAACAGTTAGGAACAGCAGCTGTCATTTTACAATACAGAGACTCAGTGTCTCATTCACAATTTCAGAGTAACATTACCCACTCTTTTATACAACGGATAGCCAAGCCCTTTCCATTGTCATTCCTAAAGGGAATGAGATTTAAATGTGGATATGAAATACCATTCTTCTCACGTGAAGTGTTACTAGCACACAGCTAGAGCTGCAGAAATTGCTCTCAAATCTCTCTGGAGGAAAGACCTGAGTTACTGATTTCATAGGCAGATGACTTGTGTAACTAATTGTTTTGTAGCTTGTGACAATGCAGTGGACCTGGATTCTGTTTTGTGTTCTAGTCCAGTTCTTTAATTAATTGATCTAAACTAATGAAAACGATAAGATGCCTGAATGGAACATCTGCAAATCTTTTTTTTTTCTCTACTCGGAAGTTCGTGAATTCAATTTACCTGTGAAATTGCTTAGTAACAAAAATCAGAAAGTGTGTGGTTGACCAGGATTGGTACTGGGAACCCCCTGTTTCAAATGACGTTATGGTGGATGTGGACTTTCTGAATGTGGTGAATGGATCATATAAGGAAGGGGATAAGTGTGTTTGTGGAAGAGATATAAAGACATTGACAAATTGAGCCAATAGAGGGAGATCTGTCACACTGCTGTTAGTTGTCTTTGTCTCTGTGCTCAGAGCACATAGAGTACTGTACGTGTTTAACCCCGAGTCTATCAATTATTATTTTACTCTTGAATTTAATAAAAGTAGTTCTAATCTTTTTTATTAAATCCAGAATAATTTATTGCTTATCTGCAATTATGTATCTCTGAATAAAAGTGAATATTGCAACAAGATTTTGAAGATTCCTTTTGAGGAGCAGAAATAGCCAGACTGTAACTAAAGGTGAAAAGATAATCTAAAAAAGAGTTTATTTCAATGTCTCAAATACCATTTCATTGCTCAAGATACAGGTGGAAATTAAAAGCTTTCCTGAAAGAGAGTCAGTTGTCAATGTGTTTTATTTATGTAGATGACATCATACAACTTACATTGAAAAGCAAAAATGCCTTCTGTGGCATAAAGCTACCGTATTCAGTCACAGAGGGTATCTCTTTTATTTCTTAATTATTATTTTGCTCTTCGAGTTAATAAAAGTACAGTAGTTGTTCTAACCTTTTTTATTAAAGTAGAATGATTTACTGCTTATCTACAATAGTGTATCTTTTAAAAAAAGTAATTATCACAGCATGGATTTGAAGGCTTGGGTAAAGACATAAGTTCCTTTTGAGGAGCAGAAATAACTGGACTATAACTCAAGGTGAAAAGATCATCAAAAAGAAAGAGTTTATTTAAATCTCTAAAGAAGCCTATTCATCTCTCAAGATACAGGTGAAAAGAAAAAGAAAAGCTTCTCTGAAAGTGAGGCAGTTGTCAATGTGTTTTATTTATTTATGCATCATACAATTTACAGTAAATGCAAAAATGCCTTCTGTGGCATAAAGCTACATTCAGTTTTAAATCTTCTTGTCAGTTACTAATATAACACTCCACAGTGACCGCTAAGCAGACTGATAAATGTTTAGCTTTCCTGTGTCAAAGAACACTAGCTTATTTCCTTTTGAACTTAGCTTACAAATAAGAAAAACTGTATGACTCCTAATATTAATTTAGCATATGTGCAAAGAAAACAAATCAGACTTCTGCACAAACAATCTATGTTTGCTTTTTACTTTGGGAACTGCATACATTGTAACAATGTCATATTATTTTTCTAATGCATAAATATGTTTCCAATACTTCAATTTTTTGGAAAAGTAAAGACAGAACAGTAGTACACTGTCCAATTTAGAAAGCATAAAGTAATTTATTATGTACTACCTTCATTTAACAGTACAGTTTTGGAAGTCTTACTGGTGACAGTGCTCAGCACAATTGAATGAGAATTAAATAATTAAATAAGAATGAAAACAAAATTATAGCATAGCATTCCTCGCCAGCCATGAGGATAACATCCCTGAATAACCTCTGTGTACTAAATTTAAGCATCAGTTCTACAGTTTAACAATTTTGATTCCTTTTTGATTTTCCCCCTTAGATATTTCTTTTTTAATGTTGCTTCACATGATCCCCAATTCATGACAGTAATACCTTCCTTCTCTCACCTCACAGCTGATGTAAATTCTGGTCTCTGTTACAAGGAGAGAATGAAATTAATATTTCCAAAGACAGGAAATACTATATGTCTCACTGTCTGGAGTGTCTGAAAAAGAAAGAAACCATTGAAGATTTGCTGCTCCCCCAGGTTTCTTGGGAAAAAAGTGGGGTTCAGATGGAGGTGGGAGATAATCTATATTGAGGAGCTGCAATCTTCAGGGGATCTGCAGATCAGAGACTTTGAGTGGGTGTATGGGCTCTTGAAATGTGGAATGGAAGTACATTTGGTGCACTTACCAACTCCAGAACCATATTACCTTCGACTCTGAATCCCAAGATAGTGGGTGACTACATAAACAGTCAGGAACAGCAGCTGTTGTTTTACAACACAGAGACTTGGAATCTCATTTTCAACTCAGCTGCAAATTCAAAAATGCTTTTAAAATGTAATGGAAAGGCGATGAGTTAAATATGAGAAAATGATTCTAATAGGTCACCCAACCATTTTGCAACTTTACTCTCTTTCTCTATTTTTATTTTTGTTCCTCCATTTTTGTTCTTTTTTATAAGAATTCAAGACCAGACATCAGACCACAACACTCATATCTCTACAGTGATGATGCATGAGAAAGTATCAACATTTTCATCAACAGAGGAACAGAGGAAGAACTGAACCTGTGGTGAGATCACAACTTCAGTGCACAGGGCATGTTAAATATGTTAAAGTCTCTACACCACAGATAAAAAGGGGGGTTCTCTTATTTCCTTATGAAGTCAGGCTTGGCTTTTTCAGTTGTCAGTAGTGACAACTCCTGTGCTGTGTTGGACTCAGTTCAGTCTGTGCTGACAGAAGCTGAATGGTAAACATGGAACACATTTACACCAACATTGAAGATACCTTCAAGCCACCCAACTGCTACAAAGGTGGGGAAGCAGAACTGCAGAGCAAAGGAAACCTGGGAGGTACTGTCGGCAGATATGTTTTTCTTTCAGTGTGACTTCTGCAGATTGATTCTGTAATGATCAATCTGGAGTGGTGTGCAGCAGTGGCATCAGACTGTCTGGTTTGGGGATCTGTTATGTCACACCCCTGGGAAGGGGCTCAGAGTGCGATCCAGCCTGCAAACAACACACAGAGAATTGCACAGAGCTGTGCATTACTGAGACCAGTGGGGGTGAAACCATGAGAGACAGGATACTGAAGAAACATTAAAATGACAGAATTCGCATGTTGGTGAAAGAAGAGCTGTTTATTCGTGTGCACACGGGAGAGAAGTTTGCAATAGCTAGTCTCCACGAAAGATATAGCTCAGCGCTTTTTATACACGGTAACAGACAAACTTCCTACTTTTGACATAGATTACCTAATCCCTGAAACGAATCATTAGTTTTCAGTCAAGCTTGCGTAGAGAAAAACAACTCCCTATTAAGACTTTTCCTTACTGCTTACATTCGCAAAACAAGACATGAGCTGTATTTTTCCACTGACCTATAGATGCCCCCTGGTGTGTTTCCACTTGCCAGGGTTATAAGCAGTTAGGAAGCTAAAAGACAAGCAGGTTTTTTAGCTTTTATAAAATTTATAACATTCCTTCAATACCAACAAAGGGCGAATCCAGGAGTCAAGACAGAGTAACAGTCTAATTTCAGGACAGTGTAACCAGGGGGTGATCCAGGGACCTGGTCGGGAATGAAGCAGGGGCTAGAAAACAAGCAAACCAGAGAGGTGAAATACTCAGAGCAAAGCTTGAGGTGCCCAGAGTCCACACTTGATCACAGAGTTCTGAGCTCTTTCAGGTCCAAGGATGTATTCACAGGAGCACCTTGAACGGGTTTGGTCAAAAACCAACTCAATGCGCTCAGAATCTCATGGTGATTAGATTGCTTAGGTTAGGTTGCTTGCAGACTGACAAACTGAGTAGCCAAGCACACAGGGGAATAAAGTACTGCTGCTGGCCAGGGAAACACATTCCAAGTCCATGGTCTTACAGACAAGGATTAAATATATGAGAGACAAATACAGGAGTCAAGACAGAGCAACAGTCTAATTCCAGGACAGTGAAACAAAGCAAACAAAGCCGGAGGGGTGATCCGGGGACCTAGTAGAGAACGAAGCAGGGGTTAGAAAACAGTCAAACCAGAGAGGTGAAATACTTGGAGCAAAGCTTGAGGTGCCCCATGTCCACACTCAATTGCAGAGTCCTGAGCTCTGCCAGGTCCGAGGATTTATTCACAGGAGCTCCTGGTTGTTAGATAACCCACAGTCCAGCAGCCGAGACTAACATGACAGGATGACCATTAAATCACCAATTTCTAAAGATCTGGATCAATTACATTGTGATCAGTTACACAGGTGATGTGTTGCAAAATATAATTTAAAACAACACACACTTGTTGCACCATTAATACACAATGTCAAAACCATTGTAGTCATCAGCAGTGTTGCGACATGCAGGCAAGCCAATGAACTTCAAAGGAACTTTGATACACAGTATCTCTATATCTATAATTTATAATCTACAAATCCTGAGGAAATGGTTGTCCAAGCGATTTTCTGTATGTCTTTCTGGAGATATTTTGAAAAAGCTGAATGTCTTAGAGAGTTTTCTTTTCAGTTCTGGAATCAGAGGAGAAGTCCCAAAGAGACAGCTCTCCGTACAAGATCCTGGCCCTCATCTGCTCGGGTTTGAGCTGTGTGCTCCTGATAACCACTGTCGTCTTCAGTTCTTATTGTAAGCACAGTAACTGATGTGTTTGGATATGTATAGCAGAAGTGTCAAAATTATGATAAAGCTCCTTAATTTGGTACCTGGGCTGTTCAAAAGAGTGGGATTAAGAGGACAAAAAATAAAGTGTATCAATGCTACTTCCCAGCTTCTCCTCCTTTACTTGATAGCTGGTTAACAACTGTACTTCCAGCACAGCAGGTAGAATCTGTACCTCCATTCATCCCTGGTCTTGTCTGCTTGCTGTCTTTTATATCTCCCAGCCTATTTCTTTCCTACTGTACAGTATATCCCAGTATTTCCCACCTCCTGTCGAACACTTCTCTATACTGATAGAATCTCTATTCCAATATAATCAAGTCTCAAGTGCTGTAACTGCCTTTTACACCTCTACCATCACAAAGATACAGCAGGAAAAGAGAAATGCTGGTTGGTGATGATTTCAGTGTCATTGTAACGTGAAGTTCACTTATAAAATCTCCACATATAATACAAGAGTGTGGTGTTGTGTTTAGTTATTGGAGAAAAACATATTCAGAAACATTTGCTTACTGTTGAGCACAGGATGATTTCAATCTTGGATCGGCAATTAGACTGTAATTGTCTTCTTTTATTTATTTAAGATTTCCTCAGGCAACCAACATTTACCCAAGTTCTACTCCAAAACACCTCCTGTGTGCAAACAAATTGTTCATCTTCAAACTGGAGCTCTTCTGCTTTAAAACAAGGTAAGCTTATTAAATTTAGGTAAGTTACTGTGTTTTAGGTATGCCTCTCAGGTCTCAGTCCCAGGTGATCATTAGAGCCTGGGTCCTTAGGTCATCAACACAGATACAGATTAACACTGCAGCAAATTTGCTAACATGCTTGGCAATGCTGTGTCAGTTTTTATTTTAGACCCTCTGGAACAATTGACAAGTAGCTGAAACCTACAACATCTCCCCAATCCTCAGTATCTTCCAGTGTCCCAATATCTTCTCTTGAACAATTAAAGAACAGTTAGACCTGAAGATCATTCTGCTGAAAATCAGGTGTGAGAAAGCCTACACACTCTGCCCAGGAGTAGATTTCACACAGTGGTCAATAAAGCTTTTTCACTCTATTGAAGATAATAGTGAGAAGAAAAATGGAAGTGAGTTTGTTGTACTTATGACTGTAGACCTATTCAGATCTTCTCATTAAAGTTCTTAATGTCTTCTTTCACAAGAGTCTGTTAGTATTACATTTGTTGCTGTAGCATATAGTGTCTGCCATTGCACAGCGCTTTGTGTTTCTTGAAAGGCACTGCTTACTAATCTTGTCATTTTATAATAAGAACTGTGGATGATGCTGGAGGACATGTACAACAGCTGTTTGAACCTGCAAGACAATTCGACTGATGTTCATGAAGAAGCTAAACGCTGTAGCGACATCATAAATAGACACAACCTGGTCCAACTATGCAACAGCAACTATACGATAGGTTGGTACAAGTGTGGATTTTCAAAGTTTTCTGTTCTTTATTATTTCTCAAAAGCGACTTCTAAGCAACTTCCGTTGACAGATTTAACATCCTTTCATTTCTCAAGATAGCAAATAATATCAAAATAGGAGGACTGCAAAACATTGTAGAGGTAGCAACTAAAATATAAAAAGCCATTACGTAAAATTGAAGAACATTATGAAGATTGATGGAAAACCCTTGGCAGATGATGTCTAACAAAGAGGCTTTCTTAAACACCATCAGGGTTTCTGTTCTTTGCATGTATAAAGCAAGAATCTTTAAATACAAAGTTAGAGTTAGAAGAGAGTGCTTTTGAAAAAGATTTAGGTACCTACAGTATGTTGAAACATCAAATTCTTCTTCCAGACAATGTGGGGAAGCAAAACAATGACAAAACAAATACGAGAATCTTCAAAAGTATAATGGTGACATCAAGGGGGACATGTTAGTATTGGAGCATGAGCTTGTAAGGCCTTATTTAGAATATTGTAGACAATTTACAACAATACCAGCAGCCATATCACCCTGCAACTCACAACTGCCAGCCCACTGAAGCTCAGGAGCTGTGAGCCTGGTCAGTACCTGGATGGGAGACCTCCTGGGAAAAACTAAGGCTGCTGCTGGAAGTGGTGTTAGTAGGGCCAGAAGGGTCTGTGTGGGTCCTAATGCCCCAGTATAGCGACGGGGACACTATTCTGTAAACAGGTGCCGTCCTTCGGATGAGACGTAAAACTGAGGTCCTGACTCTCTGTGGTCAAATTTCCCATTGGCCCTTACCAATTATGGCCTCCTAATAATCCCCATCTTGAATTGGCTTCACTACTCTACTCTCCTCCACACTGAGAGCTGATGTGTGGTGAGCGTTCTGGTGCACTATGGCTGCCGTTTCATCATCCAGGTGGGGCTGCACACTGGTGGTGGTGGAGGGGAGTCCCCATTACCTGTAAAGTGCTTTGAGTGGAGTGTCCAGAAAAGCGCTACTGTATATAAGTGTAAGCAATTATTATTATTATTGTTATTAATTTATTCACCATGTTAAAGATACAGTATTTCTGCTCTGAGACCTGACTGCTTGTGAACACCAGGAGCCAAACTTCACACAGTGTCATTATCAGACCATGTTGCACTAATCTTGTTTTTTTCTCTTCACTTTATTAAGCCTGCTTTGCTCTTACTAAAATATCAAGTAAGTGACTCTGTATTTCTGTCTTTAATTTGTGTATTCATGCTCAGGTGTCAGGAGACATGAATTCTCATCATACCAATAAGTGAAATGCAAAATAAATAATGACTCAAAACAAATGTTAAACACATTCATTTTAATAAATAGAATGACTGTAAACCAACAGATTTTTAGACTATTGTTCCCAAAAATGCCTTTGGTCTTTGAAGATTTTTCAAGTAACAGACAACATCTGATGGTCCAAAGATTTAATTTCCGAAAGAAATGATCTGTTTACTTAACACCTGATCTCCACAGATGTAACTTTCACTCATATTAAAAGGAAATTAAAGAAATTCCCTGACTCATTATTGTGTTAGAGGATTTATAAAAATGGAGCTGTCATATTATGGCATAATTTAGATTTTACATCCATATCTGACATTTTACATGTGTTATGTCCTCTTCACAGAAAGAGAAGGAAGAATACCTGCAGCAGGTAAGAAAAAACACATTTATGCTCATTGTATAAAGTGTGACTTTTTATGACACAATCTTTAAAAAAGCAGAATTTTAAATTCAAGGAATCATGATTAAGAATTATTTTCCGTGACTCTGGGGAGAGTGTCTCTGCTCTTGTAGTTGCTTAGTGAAGGAAAAATTCAAATTAATGTCTCCTTTCCTAACAGACTCACACTGCACAAGAATCTGCTCTTTTACCACAGATAGGATAGTGGATATTAATCCTAACAATGCAGGCCTGTATTGTGTAAATGTTCGCAGAAGTCACTGGACACATTTGTATTTGTGGAAAACATCTGCAATTATAGCTATACCTAAAACAAACAAGGCCTGTTGAATTAAAAGATTTGCATCCAGTACCACTAATTCAGTCCCAAAAAATGGTTTAAATAAATAGTTTTGTTCCATCTGCATTTGGCAACTAGTGGATCCCAATTTGCATACAGGGCAAAACGAGGAGTTGAAGATCAGACTGTGACTATGAAATTTTATGAGCATTTAGAAACTCCATCATCTTATGTGTCCTTACTTTTTGCTGACTTTCCTTTGATATTTAATACTCTTCAGGCAAAAAGGTTTGGAAGGGAAGTTTTGGAATATGGGAGTATGTCACACACTCAGTCAGGGGTTATACAATTTTCTTATTTATTGCCAACAGTGTGTGTGAGTGAACTCAGACAAGACTCTCACCATCAGCACCAGTACAGTGGTTCCCCAAGCTTGTGGGTAATTCACTGTTTTAAAACACAAACAACATTAAGGAATTGATAAGATAGACAGACAGACAGATAGACAGATAGATAGATAAGACTTTATTGATCCGGAAGGGAGATTGAGATGTTACAGCAGCCCAGCCCAAGACAAGCAAAAACAGACATCCGAAGAGACGAAAAATTTAAATAAGTACAGCAATACAAAATAAATAATATGCGCATAGGTATATGCAGATTTAGTGTACAAAAAGTACATTAGTGCAGCATGCTGTCCATAGATGAGCAGATGAAGGGCTAACAGTCCTAGCCTAGGGCAGCGTTATACACCCTGACAGCCACCAGGAGGAAGGACCTGTGGAGATGTTCCCTTGAACACCGTAGCTGGAGCTGTCTGGTGGTAAAAGTGCTCCACTGCCTAATTACAGTCCCATGTAGCGGATGAGAGGCGTTGTTCATGATGGCTGTGAGCTTGGTCAGCATTCTAATTGAATTTCAGAAGAACTGTTCTATTCCTATGACCCCTGTCACTGTTAATGGAACTGATACTGACATAGTAAATGTGTATAAATACCCTGACAGTATTATTGATTTTAAATTGACTGGGACTACCAATATGGAGGCAAGGAGAGTGAAGGTGCAACAGGGGTTGTATTTTTAAGGACGTTAAAGGAGTTTTAATATATAGAGCACACCTTTGACATTTTTATATAAGAGAGAACCCAAACAAAGTAATCAGGGCTTACGGCAAGAAACCTTGGACCCAATGACATACCCAATGGGTATCTTGAAATCTTGAATGACCCCTCTCATCCACTCTTTAACTCTAACACTAACACTACTACTAATAATGGGGAGGAGAACCGAGAGATGACAGTAACAAAGTAACAGAGAACTAAGAAAGCATTGAATTCCTTTATACCTCAAAGTATTCAATTTTTGAATAACGTAAAATGTGTACAGTATGTACAGTACTATTACTGTTTTTACACTTTTTAAAGATGATTGTTTTTTTAAACATATGGTACTGAAAGAGTTCTGATTAAGCAATGTTGTGGATTGTGATTTTGTATTAAGGTATTGTTTTGTTGTTGTATGGTATTATTTTCATATATGTTATATGTTTACGAGCTTTTCATGTGCAAGACAAATGTTAAGAGGCAGTAAAGGTTAATACAATTCAACAACTATTGCGCTCTTGCCACCTTGTGGTCTGATCTGGTCAGTACTGGGGTGACAGACCTCTCTTAAGAAAAACAGGATGGTGGTCGACCAGAAGGCAGTGTTGTTCTGTCTGGACTAGAATGTCTAAACAACATCCTGATTTATTCATAAATTTGTGTCTTTTAGTAGTCCCTGGCTGGAAAGCCGTATCCTATTTGTTTTACATTTTAAGAAGACTTGTGTCTGTTTTTTTTTCTCCTAGTGTGGAAATGGATTCAAAATGCATCAGGTAATCCAAAACTTGGCACCTGTGGTGAAGTGAGTTATACCAGATATACTGTCCCTGGAGTACTTTACACAGAAGATTAGATTGGATGATATAGTATTGAATATGTTGTGTTATATGAGTTAGAATCTTTTTCTCCAACTGCAACATTTCCAGTTTCTTAAGGAGTACTGCAAAGATTTATTTGGAATATAAAAATTTTCTTTTACTAGACATACCCAAGGCCTCTGTTTTTTATCATCATGCTCTGTTCTTACAGCTGACGTAGTCCTGGACCCTGATACAGCCCACGTCAACCTGAACATCTCCAAGGATGGGAAATGTGCAGTCTTGTCTGATGTGCCTCAGTCCTCTGCATCTACTAGATTTACTTACAATACGGGTGTTTTGGGTAAAGTGGGATTCATCTCAGGGAGGCACTACTGGGAGGTGGATGTGAGGGATAATCTGAACTGGGGTGTGGGCATCTTCAGGGGATCTGCTCCTAGAAATACATACCTGAGTCCTGAAAACGGGGCCTGGGCAGTGGAGCTTTGGTATAAAACCAAGTTTAGTTCCATTACTGACCCTCGAACACCATTATCTCAGGATCTGCTTCCCCAGAGAGTGGGGGTCTATATAAACTGCGAGGAAAGGCAGCTGTCATTTTTCAAAGTGGAGACTCAGAATCTCATTTACACTGCCAATGTAGATTTCACAGAAACATTCTACCCATTGTTCTACACAGAAAGTGAACAAGGCATTTCCATTGTTCCTCCTCTTGAGTTTGAGAATTAAACTGGAATGAGACTTTGTGTTTGATATATTTCTGCAAACATCCAGTAGTTGTGTATTATTCCTATAAGGTCCTACTGTACATGGATTAGCACCTAATGTATTATCTGTCCGCTCTCCAGCTCATGACCTTCGTCCACCCAACTCTTCTAGATGCCTCTCAAGCTCAAGCACTCTAGACTTGAATCCCTTCTTTTCAGAAAGGCTTTAACTTCATTGTCGACTGTGTCTGCTCTATGAGATTCAGCTGCACTTCTAAATGATTGCCTTTCTAATTTGATTTTGTAATTTATGTAACAGTTCTTGGGGTTTCCGCCCTTGTCCCTCCTGCCCTGCCAGTTCGTCCTCAGTGCCCGGGCGCGAACCCGGGTCTCTGTAACTCTGTGCCGAGATCTCAAAAACACAACTGTTTGGGTGTAACAAGATAAATTGGCAATTCTTAATTATTAAATAATGCTCTGAGATGGACTGAAACTTTGGACCACTGACCTTCCAGGACCAAGACTGTTTTAAAAACCTTCTAGACTAGAGAAACTGCAGCCCATCTCTTCCACTCCATTGCAGAGCTCTGACACAGCCAGCTCCTTACTTGCTCTTGGGTTGTAGACATGGTGCGAACTACGGGGGAGTTTAGCTCCCCTGAATAAGGCACAAGCTCCCCTGAAGAGACCATTTGCAAACCTTTGGGGGCTCTCTTTTTTCAGGTATAGACTACATTTGCGTTTCTGTTTTGAGCATGTTGCTGCCATAGAAATAGCTAAGCAATTTAATACTATTACCATGTAAGAGGGTGATCTGTCCAAATACAGTAGCTACCAGAAGCTAGTAACATTTAAACTTTGTGTGCTGTTCCCTCATGCTACCATTATTTGTTTTTTGTCTCTGTACTCAGAGCACATAGAATATGTGTTTAAACCAAAGTCTATCAATTATTATTTTGCTCTTTAATGTAGTAAATAAAAGTATTTGTTCTAATCTTTTTATTAAATCCAGAATAATTGATTGCTTATCTGCATTAATGTATCTATGAATAAAAGTGAATATTGCAACAAGATTTTGAAGATTCCTTTGAAAAGATAATCAAAAGAAAGAGTTTATTTCAATATCTCAAAATCCGTTTCATCTCTCAAGATACAGGTGGAAATCAAAAGCTTTTCTGAAAGATAGGCAGCCTTAAATAACTTAACTTAGATAACTTACATTGAAAAGCAAAAATGCCTTCTGTGGTATAAAGCTACTGTATACATAGTTTTAAATCTTGTCAGTTGCTAAGCTACAGTACCACTCCATGATGACCTCCTGGCAGCATTTGATAAATGTTAGTTTCTTTGTGGTCAGAGAACACTAGCTAATTTCCTTTCGAACTCAGCTCATACACAAATAACAAGACAAACTTTATGACACCTAATATTAATTGAGCATATGTGCAAAGAAAAAAAAACTTCTGTACAAACAACTTATTTTTTTTACTTCTGCAACTGTATAGATGACTTTAGAAAATCAATGCAACATTTTATTAATACATCGATACATTTCCAAAACTTAAATTTCTATGTTGTCCTTTGGAAAAGTTGGAAGATTGGAAGAGTAATACACAGTACAACTCAGAAAGCATAATGTAATTCCTTTTCGACTGAATTCTCCTGACACCTGAGCACGAATAGACAAACAGACAACAGAAAACAGAATCACTTACTTGATATTTTAGTAAGAACAGGGCAAGCTTAATGTAGTAAGAACAGGGCAAGCTTAATGAAGTGAAGAGAGAAAAATAAACAAGATTAGTGACAAAGCAATTATCAAACCAACTGATTGATAATAATCAGAATATTAGGTGATACAAATATTAACACAAATCCAAAATCTTCTTAAACAGAAGCTATTAACCCTACCTCACACCTGAATGTCAAGACCGTGGTGTGCCCAGGTGTTGTGTTTAGATTATACTAGGAATGAGTCCCTGAGGCATAACATCCAAGGTTCTGGATGAAACTTATGGGTTCCTTCCGCGAAGCCATGTACTGCGTGCAAAGTAAAATTTTAACAATGAGTAGTTACAGTAGCAAACAATGTAACTTTTAATTTTGAAAAATATTTCACACATAAAGTATTGTACTGTGGCTTTGAAACCATACGGTATATGTCTGTAAAAACAGTATATTTGAACAGCATATGATCATATTGCAGTTCACTCATGTGTACGCTACTATTTTGGTATATCTGTGGATCTGACTTCATGGGATTCGCGTGTGTGGAACGTTGGGAGATTAGACGAGGGGAATGAGTCCCTTTTGAATGGATTTTTATCGGGGTAGGTGTTGTCTCATTTCCTCGATTTAACATCTGATATGTCCCCAGTAAACCGAGAGATTAAAGTATCTGCCTTGTGACATTTCTCAAACTGCTCCAAAGTCGGGCACAGATTAAAATCCTCTAAATTTAAAGCCTCAATGGATGCCACAATTACCTGTAATACAATCTGTAGAACCATAATACCCATAATACAAAGGCCTGTACAAACATAAACGTATGCCAGCAGCCATATCACCCTGCAACTCACAACTCGCAACCCAGTGAAGCTCAGCAGGTGTGAGCCTGGTCAGTACCTGGATGGGAGACCTCCTGGGAAAGCTGAGGCTGCTGCTGGAAGAGGTGTTAGTGGGGCCAGCAAGGGGCACTCACCCTGCGGTCCATGTGGGTCATAATGCCCCAGTATAGTGACAGGGACACTATACTGTAAACAGGCGCCGACCTTCGGATGAGACGTAAAACTGAGGTCCTGACTCTTTGTGGTCATTAAAAATCCCAGGGTGTTTCTTGAAAAGAGTAGGGTGTCCTGGCCAAATTTCCCATTGGCTCTTACCAATCATGGCCTCCTAATAACCCCCATCTCTGAACTGGTTCATCACTCTGCTCTCCTCCCCACAGATAGCTGATGTACTGTATGGTGAGCGTTCTGGTGCACTATGGCTGCCGATGCATCATCCAGGTGGGGCTGCACACTGGTGGTGG